TATTGAAACAGTGGGGAACTTACATCGAGCCAAACGTGAACCGCAACAGTTTCTTCCGTGAGATTTTCCCCTAGTGAACTGAACTGATCACTGTCGGGTTTCTTTTCAATGATGTATGTTCTATTTTTATTCAAAAGATGGTCGTTTACATGTACGATAGTAATGACAAAAGTTCGCAGGTGTGGGCTTTAAGAAAGCTTTATTCAATTGACAATACAATGTTCGCGTATTGTATCCGTTTATAGTACCAGTAAATAGAAATAGCTCCCTCAAAGTGGAGAGTAACAAAACTAGGGGAGACTACTCTTGATTATTTATAACAATGATATCGACCTGGCATAATCCTGTGGCGGTACATTCCGTTGCAACTCTCGTTCAAGTAAAGTGAGTTTGTACGGAATATTCAGTCGTACCAGAAACGGCCAAATATCGCGTACACCATTCCGCTTACATTTCTTCAATATATAACTGATCGTCAAATACATATCAATACAACCCGCCCGCAAAATGTCCGTGATTTTAAAGATAACTGCAATATACCTATGTTCACTTGGTTTACATATTCATTGTAAAATATCTACAAGAATATAAGTTAGCAGAGTTGAAAGCCTTCGGATATACAGTGGCCTAATAAAAAATGTTTAGCTAGGAGAAAGAAACTACATCCAAATTCAAAATTTAATTACGTATTCCCAATTCAACATAAACAAAAAATATTTGAAACTACTATAGAGTATGTCTTCCATTTGTTACTTTCAGTGATTGTATTCGATTTTTCATGGATTTAGTCAAGTTATCAACAATCGTTTAATCCATATTTTGCCACTCGTTAAGCAATGTTACCACTGACGGGATTTTTCTTGAACGCTTTCAAAATTTTCGGTCAAGGTGCTCCGGACCATGCTCTAGTGGATTCATGTCAAGACAGGGATACCCATGACAGTGACTTGATTCCTTGCGATTCCTTCCAGGGATTTGCTACTTTGCTCGTATGACATGGCGCGACATCTTCTTGAAAAAGCTAGTTATTCTTGTCAACGTGATTGGTTTCAAATAATGGGAGTTGTCCTTTCTTTAATATTTGACAGTATGTTGAACAATCCAAGCGTTCGTCAACAAGATTCAACTCAGATTTCCTTCCAAACCAGACAGCGCTCCACACCATTACTCCAATCCTTTCATCTTTCACGGTGGCCTGCAGACATTCAGTGTTCCAAGTTTCATTCTGATTTCACCAAACATAAACCTGCCAGAATTTACTTTCATCTAAACAAATTACTGATTGCCAAATTTCATAATCTTTGGTCCCGAATTCACTCGCCCAGTCCATATGCCTGTTCCAGTTAACCTATGAAGTCAAGGGCTTCTTTCTTGCAACTCTACTTTGATAGCCTAAACCCAGAGTTTTTTACGCCGCATATGGTGACATTTCCATGCTGTTAGCGATATCTTTGACTCTGTGATGACGGTTTCTGCTGACGTCTCTCTTCACCGACCTTTTTGTTCGCTCAAACACAAGGCATGATCTTTCTCAGCATTGTTCCACACGACAACGGCCTTCTTCATTAAATTTCTTGACAATATTATTAACCGTTTGATGATTAATCTTGAAAAACATAGCAATTTGTCTTGCCACACTGATGCCATCCTATTATCAGCCCCCGTTGACATTCAGCAATTTCCTTACTTCCACGAACTTTCATTGCAAAATATAAATCAACTATCGTTCATAGATGAGAGTAGCTTGATACTAACAGGGTATTGTCTGAAAAAAGAAGAGACGTTATTACACATGCCAACATTGCTGTAATCAAGTTTGGCTAAAACACATCATAATCCACTGTATACAATATTTGAACAGTTTTACACATTTGCAGAGTGAAATATAGGTATCCATTTAAAATAACGTTCAATTAATAAAATATGTCGGATGAATAAATAAAAATTTAACACTTCATTAAAAATTAATTTGTTTCAGTTAAAATACTAAACTGAGCATATATGAATATTTCGAGTCTAAGAATAATTTGCGCTCATAAGGCATTATTCAGCTTTGATCGTTGATCGACGCACTTCGTGGTCTAGGTGGTCAAAAGCACCTTAGATCTAAGGACGGTTTACCCCGCCAATGGTGACTAGTGTTCGAATCATGTTGGAGGGCTCATATTATTAATCAATAAGATTTCTCGAATATTCAAGATGGTAGACTAAAATAAATTAAATAATGTTAAGTAGATATATATATATATATGTGTGTGCGTGTGCAAATGCATAGAAAAATCGGAAAGAACAGGTTAGGTAATGATTATACATTGTCGCCATTTCAGGTTTTAAATTTCGCGCATGGTCGTTGTTTTTTTTTTTGTTTCTTTTGATTTTGCCAACTGCAAAGTAAAGTATGCTCACCGTCTGTGAAAAAAGGATAACAAAGCAATTCACTCTGCCAGAAATTTGGAAACAGCTTGCTTTACTGCTTGGCATCCCAACCGAAAGCTCCAATACGAACATTTCAGAGTGTTTGGGTGTCAATCTGAGGACGGTGCAGTGAGTTCGGAAAGAGTTGAATGGGTCTAAAGGTAATTACGAAGTTACGGAAGGTCGGAAAACTCTTTCTGATCATTCTAATGAGAAAAGAACTCTCGAATTTTGGGGAGAGGGCCTCAGTCTCATCACGTAGACCTACATGAGGAGGTAGTACACCCCTCTGTCAAGTGTCAAGTGCACCATGTCACACAAGCAGGAGGACGCAATAATGGCTGTCAGTTTCTGCCAACATATCACCACTTATATCTGGCCATACAAATCCCCAGACTGGAACCGCTTGATTATTATGTTTGGGTGCAGTTCAGCGAGAGACCAACAAAACCTTTTAAATCTATAGATGAACGGAAAGCAAGGATAATAGCAACATTCACCAACTTAAAGAAGCAAAACTTTCAGAATTGTTCAGGAAATTCTGAAATCATCTGTAGGCTATGGTTGAAGCAAATGGCAAAATTACGAAATAAATTTACATTTTGTATTTTATGATATTTTTTGTGTAATATGGGTGAATATGTTAAAATGAGATATCAGTGTTATTTTAATTTTTGCGTTATTTAGACGACAATTTATCCATCGCACACTTTATATCTAGCGATTTTCTATAGTTATGGCGAATGAAAACAGATTAGTATATAAGTTCGTCGGAAATGCGCGCACACACAAACACACACACACACACATATATATATATATATATTATATCTTATTGCTGAAATTAGTAGGTGATCGATGTGTTATCGACACTCTGCATCAATTTATAAACCAGTGGAACAGACTTTTATACACAGATATAATTATTGGTGAGAAATCTTGTCATGAGGTAACGTGTTTTTTGTACAAATGTAACGTCTTCTGGCTAATATTCTAGTATTCTAAATTTTATATTTCGTAACACACTATGTGGGTTAATTAAAGAGTATCGGTAGAAATAAAGTCAAAATCAAATATGAAATCTTCTGTGCTATTCATCTATTGGAAGAACTTGAGAGAAAGATTTATTCTCCCATTTGTATTTACCGGATTTTGAGGGACAAATTTGGGGACTATATATTCCCAAAGGGAAACGGTAACATGGTGCTTGTCAGCTGTAGCATGTGCTGGAGGAGGGAGATTTTAAAAAAATGAAAAAGCAACCGCTCGGATTGGCCCCTATAAACAGTCTAAAGAACTGACGCTTTCGTCAATGTATGGAATGATATCAATGAGCAGCCGATATCCAGGTGATTTACCTCGACCCAAGGGAGATAATCGCCTATATCTCTACATACCTATAATTTACCGATGAAAGTCCATCCATCTTTAAAATTTATGATGCGAATTTTAACGTTATAACTCTATTTTCATCAGAGTATGCACGTCGTGTGTGCGAATACATGTTATACATTAATAGTCACAGATAGATTTATAAAATATTTACGACTACGTATGTTTTTGTGTATTATAATATTACATGCTGATTTGATATTCAACATATATTACTTTCACAGGTAGGAAGCTGCACGTTTCATATACATAGCTGTCTCTAGCACCTCGACGTGGTATAATGGTTAGGACGCTTGTCTTGCTAGATCAATTACGACTGAGTAGTGAGTTCGATCCTCATTGGGTGCACCATACTTTCGGCCTTGTGCCACATCTAAGTGTCTGCTTCTCTTGTATTTTTAAATCGTACAGTTTCAAAAATATATTAAATAGTTTTGGATTAAATATCGCCAAACTTTTGCTCAAATGTTCTCGAAAAAGCTTTATAGATATTTTCAGATTTCGCTTCGTAAGTACAGCTTTTATTTTATCGTCATTGACCTGACATATTTAAACGTTTACAAAATCCTTTTTTCTTCCTTTGCTAAAACAAAATAATATCGCGAATTAAAACTTTAACTTACATAACACAATCTAAATAAAGTATTCACTTTTTCCCTTTAATGTCCATAGTCTGCAGGAACATGAAAGAAAGTAATTGGTCAATATATTTATGTTCTTCTTAATTACAACGCTCAAGATTTCCGTTTTTGTATTTAATAGCGCCTTTTAATTTTAGCGTGTCTGCTGGACGCTTGATTGGCCGAATAATGAAAAGGTTTTAATTACCAGGGATATTAAAGAGGCTCAAAATAGTCACTTGAAGAGGACCCGGGATTCGAAATATCATCTATCATTGCCACATTATTAAATTGTTTCAAAAACTTTCGGTTTCTGAATGCCAACATCTATTTAAGTGTTTCCTATCTTTTTTTTTTTACTTAGATTCCATTGACATTTTTACTTATAATTAAATTGAACTTGTTATGGCGAAGTTTCTAGTCGACATAATTTAACATATTGTAATTGATTACATTATTAGTTTCTTAAATTAAATATATTTTACTACAGGATCCAGTAATTACATTGAACACTTTGATGTATCCACGGGAAAGCTGCACTAATTCTGTATCAGTAACTGAAGTTTGGTGGAGATGGTTCTCGTCTATATAAACATATCTCAGGACAGGAGTAAAATGGTTCTACTCTATAAGTGAAAAAAAGAATATTTATTCATATTCATGATTTTTTATCATCATTATGTCCCGTGCAAAAAATTATGTGATTGTAGAAACCCTAAAGACTGCCCGTTAGAAAATAAAATTCCGTGGTATACCAATGCACTATCTCATCCATTGAGAGTCCTAACACTGATAGGATATACATAGGGTCAACGAAGAATCAATTTAAAATTAGATGGAGTCAACACAAGAGCTCTTTCAACAATATTCAAAATAGAAATCAGACATCTCTTTCCCAATATTTCTGGCATCTAAAAGAAACGAATAAAACACCAAAAGTAAAATGGAAAATAGTAAATAGAACAAGAACTTGTAAAACCTGTGATGACTCTTGCCCTTTATGCCTACAGGAAAAACTACACATCATTAAGTTTATAAATAATGAAAAATTATTAAAACATAGGCAGGAGTTAACGGTTTTTTGCCGGCATTAACAAATTTTCGCATTAAATAATTAGCATAAAAAAACTCCCAGAGTTTAATAAAAGTCTTAAAAGCTAAACAAATAATTAAATAGAAAAAAAACCCTTTCTGTAGTGGTCAAAAAACAAATTGAAATTCAGTGCAATACGTTTTGTATATAGAACACCCACTTGAATAAACAAATAAATTAAGAGATAATCAGATAGACAAAAATAAAACAAAATCCTCGCGACACATAACGACTTGTAGGCGCGGCATAAAAATATCCCTCGCTGGGAACTAACTAGTGGATGTCCGCCAACATTAGCCTTGAAATAGACACCCTACCCAACTTGAGCAAAACCTCTCAGAAGATAATGAATCGATAAATAAGAATTAACTCTCAGACCACTTAACAATGATGACTCGCCTAGCCATTCCAACAATAACAAATGTTATAACGAACCATGCTTAAAAACACACGTAAACCAAGAGATAGCTTATTCCTAAAATTTCGCTTGAAGATGAAACGGGACTAAACAACACCATAATTCAACTTAATTTTAATAATTATTTGGATGGTTTCGGCTCTCGTTTTTGAAACATGATAACTAATATGTAGCGAAGGAATCATATTTTAAACAAAAAATATTATAATATATATATATATATATATATATATATATATATATATATATGTTTGTGTGTATGAGTGTGTCTGTTGAAAATACAAGAAATAATCCACAAATATTTTAAAATGTTTTCAAAAGATAGTTTAAAATGTTAAGGTTTGAACTAATACATTCTTCTTTTACTACATATTTCGTTAAAAAAAACTCTTCACACCATAATCTTTTACCTCTCCTTAAAGAGTCTCAACGGTCACACACTAAGCGTTCCTCACTCTACTTGTTTGAAATTTAACTTTCAGATGAACACGATAAATTTGTCTTTCACAATGATAAACACTACAATATTTATCTTGTAGTAAACAATACTCTGATGTCGACATTGGTATGTCGAAAGTACTTGGAACTAAAAGAAATATGTATCTAAACGCCTATGTTCTCTCGTCCTTCAATAATGACAACCAAACAGCTTATCCGCAAATATAAAAGGATCCTATTACAAATAAGTAGACAGAACATGTCTAAATTATTCAACGAAACATGTCTCAAGGAAAGCATTCTAACGAAATACACGAATATATATATATATATATATATATATATATATATATATATATATATATATATATATATACCAGTAAAAAGAATTCGTTTATCACCATATTAGTACAAGAACGCACAACTGTAAAATTTAAAAATCAAACTCAGCGTTGCTACTGCACGCTCCAAAAAACAATAACTCATTTCTAATAGCATTTTCGGATACAACAATACATATATTTTCGTTGTCCTCTTATTACTGAGAGAAAAACAAGAACAACATCTATTCCATACCTGAAGATGTCTGTAGGAACAGACGAAAGCTTGTAAAATTAAGAACTGATGCAACAGAAATTTATAAAAACAAGGATCTTTTCATTCATAACAGGTTCGGGGTTTTTTGTATATTATTTGAATTGTTTGCGACGATGGATTTCTCGACAATTAAATCATTAACTTTTGTATTTGTTTTTGTATGAATAAGTCATGAATATATATATATATATATATATATATATATATATATATATATATATATATATATTATATATTACACGCGCGTGCGTGTGTGTGATCACCAAATATTTCATTCTTTAGGTTCCTTGCGTGAAATACGCTTGGACGATCACTTTTCTTTCCAATTCATGATGGAAGAATTTTCACAGTAGTTAGACGTTATTTTCTACCGTAGACTTTTTGCCAATCAAGCTATACTACACAGTTTTTTTGTTTTTTTTTTCACTTCTACTTAACCCGTAGCCAACACACATAACCATACAATATTTAATAAAAATAGAAATTAAAGTCAGGGCATTTAAATATTTAATATTTATTAATACATGAATAATTAAACAACAAAAAATATAGAGAAATAAATAAAAATTACATCATACAAATTGATGGCTTATGGCATTCGTTTACTATTCAAACATTTACATTACTTAACGTCCTCGGTAGTTTAACTTTGTTTACACCACAAGCTTTAAAAGGGAATAAGTTAATATCACGTTGAAACACGAGTTCACGTCAGATTTCAAGTTTTGTCAGTAACTTGATGGATGAACACTTGTGAATACGAGGAGCTGTAAGCTTATGTGAACGATGTAATGGATATATATATATATATATATATATATATATATATATATATATATATATATATATATATTTGATTGTATTTTTGGGTTCGTTAACACTTACGGATATTTTCGAGTTGTTATATTTCAAATCCTCTTATTACACGTTGGGTTACGTTATATTCATTTACGCGTTAAATCCCCTTATTACGTTATATTCATTTATTCTTAGTTAATTCATTTACCCTTATTACGTTATATTCATTTACGCGCAAATCCTCTTATTACGTTATATTCATTTACGCGCAAATCCTCTTGTTACGTTATATTCATTTACGCGCAAATCCTCTTATTACGTTATATTCATTTACGCGCAAATCCTCTTATTACGTTATATTCATTTACGCGCAAATCCTCTTATTACGTTATATTCATTTACGCGCAAATCCTCTTATTACGTTATATTCATTACGCGCAAATTCTTGTTATTATATTCATTTACGCGCAAATCCTCTTGTTACGTTATATTCATTTACGCAAAATCCTCTTATTCATTTTACGCGCAAATTTATTACGTTATATTCATTTACGCGCAAATCCTCTTATTACGTTATATTCATTTACGCGCAAATCCTCTTATTACGTTATATTCATTTACGCGCAAATCCTCTTATTACGTTATATTCATTTACGCGCAAATCCTCTTATTACGTTATATTCATTTACGCGCAAATCCTCTTATTACGTTATATTCATTTACGCGCAAATCCTCTTATTACGTTATATTCATTTACGCGCAAAATCCTTATTACGTTATATTCATTTACGCGCAAATTATTATTACGTTATATCATTTACGCGCAAATCCTCTTGTTACGTTATATTCATTTACGCGCAAATCCTCTTATTACGTTATATTCATTTACGCGCAAATCATCTTGTTACGTTATATTCATTTACGCGCAAATCCTCTTGTTACGTTATATTCATTTACAAATCCTCTTATTACGTTATATTCATTTACGCAAATCCTCTTATTACGTTATATTCATTTACGCGCAAATCCTCTTGTTACGTTATATTCATTTACGCAAATCCTCTTATTACGTTATATTCATTTACGCGCAAATCCTCTTATTACGTTATATTCATTTACGCGCAAATCCTCTTGTTACGTTATATTCACTTTACGCAAATCCTCTTATTACGTTATATTCATTTACGCGCAAATCCTCTTATTACGTTATATTCATTTACGCGCAAATCCTCTTATTACGTTATATTCATTTACGCGCAAATCCTCTTATTACGTTATATTCATTTACGCGCAAATCCTCTTATTACGTTATATTCATTTAAATCCTCTTTATTACGTTATATTCATTTACGCGCAAATCCTCTTATTACGTTATATTCAGTTACGCGCAAATCCTCTTTTTACGTTATATTCATTTACGCGCAAATCCTCTTATTACGTTATATTCATTTACGCGCAAATCCTCTTGTTACGTTATATTCATTAAATCCTCTTATTACGTTATATTCATTTACGCGCAAATCCTCTTATTACGTTATATTCATTTACGCGCAAAATCCTCTTATTACGTTATATTCATTTACGCGCAAATCCTCTTATTACGTTATATTCATTTACGCGCAAATCCTCTTACGTTATATTCATTTACGCGCAACTCCTTTATTACGTTATATTCATTTACGCGCAAATCCTCTTATTACGTTATATTCATTTACGCGCAAAAATCCTCTTATTACGTTATATTCATTTACGCGCAAATCCTCTTGTTACGTTATATTCATTTACGCAATCCTCTTATTACGTTATATTCATTTACGCGCAAATCCTCTTGTTATATTCATTTACGTTATATTACGTTATATTCATTTACGCGCAAATCCTCTTATTACGTTATATTCATTTACGCGCAAATCCTCTTATTACGTTATATTCATTTACGCTCTTTATTACGTTATATTCATTTACGCGCAAATCCTCTTGTTACGTTATATTCATTTACGCGCAAATCCTCTTATTACGTTATATTCATTTACGCGCAAATCCTCTTAAATTCCGCGCAAATCTTATTACGTTATATTCATTTACGCGCAAATCCTCTTATTTCATTTACGTTATATTCATTTACGCGCAAATCCTCTTATTACGTTATATTCATTTACGCGCAAATCCTCTTATTACGTTATATTCATTTACGCGCAAATCCTCTTATTACGTTATATTCATTTACGCGCAAATCCTCTTGTTACGTTATATTCATTTACGCGCAAATCCCCTTATTACGTTATATTCATTTACGCGCAAATCCTCTTATTACGTTATATTCATTTACGCGCAAATCCTCTTATTACGTTATATTCATTTACGCGCAAATCCTCTTATTACGTTATATTCATTTACGCGCCTCTTATTACGTTATATTCATTTACGCGCAAATCCTCTTATTACGTTATATTCATTTACGCGCAAATCCTCTTGTTACGTTATATTCATTTACGCAAATCCTCCTATTACGTTATATTCATTTACGCGCAAATCCTTATTACGTTATATTCATTTACGCGCAAATCCTCTTGTTACGTTATATTCATTTACGCGCAAATCCTCTTATTACGTTATATTCATTTACGCGCAAATCCTCTTGTTACGTTATATTCATTTACGCGCAAATTTTATTACGTTATATTCATTTACGCGCAAATCCTCTTGTTACGTTATATTCATTTACGCGCAAATCCTCTTATTACGTTATATTCATTTACGCGCAAATCCTCTTATTACGTTATATTCATTTTACGCGCAAATCCTCTTGTTACGTTATATTCATTTACGCGCAAATCTCTTTATTACGTTATATTCATTTACGCGCAAATCCTCTTATTACGTTATATTCATTTACGCGCAAATCCTCTTATTACGTTATATTCATTTACGCGCAAATCCTCTTATTACGTTATATTCATTTACGCGCAAATCCTCTTATTACGTTATATTCATTTACGCGCAAATCCTTATTACGTTATATTCATTTACGCGCAAATCCTCTTATTACGTTATATTCATTTACGCGCAAATCCTCTTATTACGTTATATTCATTTTACGCGCAAATCCTCTTATTACGTTATATTCATTTACGCGCAAATCCTCTTATTACGTTATATTCATTTACGCGCAAATCCTCTTATTACGTTATATTCATTTACGCGCAAATCCTCTTATTACGTTATATTCATTTACGCGCAATTCATTTACGCGCAAAATCCTCTTATTACGTTATATTCATTTACGCGCAAATCCTCTTATTACGTTATATTCATTTACGCGCAACTCTCTTATTACGTTATATTCATTTACGCGCAAATCCTCTTATTACGTTATATTCATTTACGCGCAAATCCTCTTATTACGTTATATTCATTTACGCGCAAATCCCCTTATTACGTTATATTCATTTACGCGCAAATCCTCTTATTACGTTATATTCATTTACGCGCAAATCCTCTTATTACGTTATATTCATTTACGCGCAAATCCTCTTATTACGTTATATTCATTATATTACGTTATTTATTTACGCGCAAATCCTCTTATTACGTTATATTCATTTACGCGCAAATCCTCTTATTACGTTATATTCAACCTTTACGCGCGCAAATCCTCTTATTACGTTATATTTCGTTACGCAAATCCTCTTATTACGTTATATTTTCAGTTACGCGCAAATCCTCTTATTACGTTATATTCATTTACGCGCAAATCCTTATTACGTTATTATTTACGCGTTATATTCATTTACGCGCAAATCCTCTTGTTACGTTATATTCATTTACGCGCAAATCCCCTTATTACGTTATATTCAGTTACGCGCAACTTATATTCATTTACGCGCAAATCCTCTTGTTACGTTATATTCATTTACGCGCAAATCCTCTTATTACGTTATATTCATTTACGCGCAAATCCTTATTACGTTATTTCATTTACGCGCAATATATTATATTTCATTTACGCGCAAAAATCCTCTTATTACATTATATTCATTTACGCGCAAATCGTTATATTCATTTACGCGCAAATCTTTGTTACGTTATATTCATTTACGCAAATTATATTCATTTACGCGCAAATCCTCTTATTACGTTATATTCATTTACGCGCAAATCCTCTTATTACGTTATATTCATTTACGCGCAAACCTCTTATTACGTTATATTTCAGTTACGCGCAAATCCTCTTATTACGTTATATTCATTTACGCGCAAATCCTCATTCATTTACGCGCAAATCCTCTTATTACGTTATATTCATTTACGCGCAAATCCTCTTATTACGTTATATTCATTTACGCGCAAATCCTCTTATTACGTTATATTCATTTACGCGCAAACCCTTATTACGTTATATTCATTTACGCGCAAATCCTCTTATTACGTTATATTCATTTACGCAAATCCTCTTATTACGTTATATTCATTTACGCGCAAATCCTCTTATTACGTTATATTCATTTACGCGCAAATCCTCTTATTACGTTATATTCATTTACGCAAATTCTTATTACGTTATTTCAGTTACGCGCAAATCCTCTTATTACGTTATATTCATTTACGCGCAAATCCCCTTATTACGTTATATTCATTTACGCGCAAATTACGTTATATTCATTTACGCGCAAATCCTCTTATTACGTTATATTCATTTACGCGCAAATCCTCTTGTTACGTTATATTCATTTACGCGCAAATCCTCTTATTACATTTGTTATATTCATTTACGCGCAAATCGCGTTATATTCATTTACGCGCAAATCCTCTTATTACGTTATATTCATTTACGCGCAAATCCTCTTATATTCGGTTACGCGCAAATTATTACGTTATATTCATTTACGCGCAAATCCTCTTATTACGTTATATTCATTTACGCGCAAACTCCTCTTATTACGTTATATTCATTTACGCGCAAATCCCCTTGTTACGTTATATTCATTTAAAATCCTCTTATTACGTTATATTCATTTACGCGCAAATCCTCTTATTACGTTATATTCATTTACGCGCAAATCCTCTTATTACGTTATATTCATTTACGCGTAAATCCTTTGTTACGTTATATTCATTTACGCGTAAATTACGTTATATTCATTTACGCGCAAATCTCTTATTACGTTATATTCATTTACGCGCAAATCCTCTTATTACGTTATATTCATTTACGCGCAAATCCTCTTTATTACGTTATATTCATTTACGCGCAAATCCTCTTATTACGTTATATTCATTTACGCGCAAATCCTCTTGTTACGTTATATTCATTTACGCGCAAATCCTCTTATTACGTTATATTCATTTACGCGCAAATCCTCTTATTACGTTATATTCATTTACGCGCAAATCCTCTTATTACGTTATATTCATTTACGCGCAAATCCTCTTATTACGTTATATTCATTTACGCTCCTCTTGTTACGTTATATTCATTTACGCGCAAAAATCCTCTTATTACGTTATATTCATTTACGCGCAAATCCTCTTGTTACGTTATATTCATTTACGCGCAAATCCTCTTATTTACATTATATTCATTTACGCGCAAATTCTTATTACGTTATATTCATTTACGCGCAAATCCTCTTATTACGCGCAAATCCTCTCGTTATATTCATTTACGCACCAAATTATTATATTCATTTACGCGCAAATCCTCTTATTACGTTATATTCATTTACGCCAAATCCCTTATTACGTTATATTATTTACGCGCAAATCCTCTTATTACGTTATATTCATTTACGCGCAAATCCTCTTATTACGTTATATTCATTTTCCCCTTACGCAAATCCTCTTATTACGTTATATTCATTTACGCGCAAATCCTCTTATTACGTTATATTCATTTACGCGCAAATCCTCATTACGTTATATTCATTTACGCAAATCCTCTTATTACGCTATATTCATTTACGCGCAAACTTCCTTATTACTTATATTCATTTACGTTATATTATATTCATTTACGCGCAAATCCCTCTTATTACGTTATATTCATTTACGCGCAAATCCTCTTATTACGTTATATTCATTTACGCGCAAATCCTCTTATTACGTTATATTCATTTACGCGCAAATCCCTTTATATATTCATTGCGCGCAAATCACTCTTATTACGTTATATTCATTTACGCGCAAATCCTCTTATTACGTTATATTATATTCATTTACGCAAATCCTCAATACGCAAATCCCCTTATTGCTTATTTCACGTTATTATATTCATTTACGCGCAAATCCTCTTACGTTATATTCATTTACGCAAATCCCTCTTGTTACGTTATATTCATTTACGCGCGCAAATTACGTTATATTCATTTACGCAAATCCTCTTATTACATTATATTCATTTACCTTTCATCCTCTTATTTATATTCATTTACGCAAATCCCTTATTACGTTATATTCATTATCCTCTTATTACGTTATATTCATTTTCCTCTTACGCATTTACGCAAATCCTCTTGTTACGTTATATTCATTTTACGCGCAAATCCCGCTTTATTACGTTATTCATTTACGCGCCGTCACTCTTGTTACGTTATTTCCGTTACGCGCAAAATCCTCTTATTACATTATATTCATTTACGCGCAAATCCCTTGTTACGTTATTATATCATTTACGCAAAATCCTTACGTTATATTCATTTACGCGCAAATCCCTTATTACGTTATATTCATTTACGCGCAAATCCTCTTACATTATATTCATTTACGCAAATCCTCTTATTACGTTATATTCATTTTAAAATCCTCTTATTACATTATATTCATTTTACGCAAATTCTGTACATTATATTCATTTACGCGCAAATCCTCTTATTTCATTTTATTCATTATATTCATTTACGCGCAAATCCTCTTATTACGTTATATTTCATTTACGCGCAAATCCTCTTATACATTATATTCATTTACGCGCAAATCCTCTTATTACATTATATTCATTTACGCGCAAATCCTCTTATTACGTTATTCATTTTTTCAAATCCTCTTGTTACGTTATATTCATTTACGCGCAAATCCTCTTGTTACATTATATTCATTTACGCAAATCCCCTTATATATTTATTTTCTCACTTTATTACGTTATATTCATTTACGCGCAAATCCCTCTTATTACGTTATATTCATTTTTTACGCGCAAATCCCCTTATTACATTATATTCATTTACATCCTCTTGTTACGTTATATTCATTTTACGCGCAAATCCTCTTGTTACGTTATATTCATTTTACGCGCAAATCCTCTTGTTACATTATGTTCATTTACGCGCAAATCCTCTTATTACATTATATTCATTTACGCGCAAATCCTCTTAACCCATTATTCATTTGCGCAAATATTACATTTCATTACGCGCAAATCCTTATTACTTATATTCATTTTACGCTTAAATCCTCTTGTTACATTATATTCATTTACGCATAAATCCTCTTATTACGTTATATTCATTTACGCAAATCCCTTATTACGTTATTCATTTACGCGCAAATCCTCTTATTACGTTATATTCATTTTTACCGCAAATCCTTATTATTATGTTGTTACGCGCAAATCCTCTTGTTACGTTATATTCATTTACGCGCAAATATATTCATTTTACGCGCAAATCCTCTTATTACATTATATTCATTTTACGCAAATCCTCTTATTACGTTATATTCATTTTACGCAAATCCTCTTATTAATATTCATTTGCGCGCAAATCCCTTATTACGTTATATTCATTACGCGCAAATCCTTATTACGTTATATTCATTTACGCGCAAATCCTCTTATTACGTTATATTGATTTCATTTACGCGCAAATCCTCTTATTACGTTATATTCATTTACGCAAATCCCCTTATTACATTATATTCATTTACGCACCGTCCTCTGAAATTCATTTACGCGTCCCCTTATTCGTTATATTTCATTTACGCGCAAATCCTCTTATTGCATTATATTCATTTTACGCAAATCCTCTTATTACGTTATATTCATTTATTAGGTATATTCATTTACGCGCAAATCCTCTTATTGCCTTATTTCATTTACGCGCAAATCCTCTTATATTCATTTACGTTGCATTATATTCATTTACGCGCAATCCTCTTATTACGTTATATTCATTTTTGCGCGTCCCGCAACGTTATCCTCTTATTACGTTATATTCATTTTACGCGCCGTCCTCTTATTACGTTATATTCATTTTACGCGCAAATCCTCTTATTACGTTATATTCATTTTCCTCTTGTTACGTTATATTCGTTTACGCGCAAATCGCAATACACGTTATATTCATTTCGTCCTCTTATTACGTTATATTCATTTGTTATATTCAGTTGCGCGTAAATCCCCTTGATTCGTTATATTCATTTACGTCCCTCTTATTACGTTATATTCGTTACGCGCAAATCCTCTTATTACGTTATATTCATTTGCGCGCAAATCCTCTTACATTATATTCATTTACGCGCAAATCCCTTATTACGTTATATTCAAATCCTCTTATTACATTATATTCATTTACGCATAAATCCCCTCTTATATTCATTATATTCATTTCATTTACGCGCAAATCCCTTGTTACGTTATATTCATTTACGCGCAAATCCTCTTATTGCGTTATATTCATTTACGCACCAAATCCTCTTATATTCATTTACATTATTATATTCATTTACGCAAATCCTCTTGTTACGTTATATTCATTTACCCCCCCTTATTACGTTATGTTCACATAAATCCTCTTATTATTCATTTACGCGCAAATCCTCTTATTACGTTATATTCATTTTACGCGCAATCACTCTTTACGTTATATTCATTTACGCGCAAATCCTCTTATTTCAATTCATTATTATTATATTCATTTACGCGCAAATCCTCTTATTGCGATTATATTCATTTACCGCAAATCCTCTTGTTCATTTCATTTACGCGCAAATCCTCTTCTTACATTATATTCATTTTACGCGCAAATCCTCGTTATATTCGAAACTTACGTTATTATTCCTTCATTTGCGCAAATCATATTATTATATTCATTTACGCGCAAATCCCTTATTACGTTATATTCATTTACGCGCAAATCCTCTTATTACGTTATATTCATTTACGCGCAAAATCCCCGTTATATTCACGTCCTCTTATTACGTTATATTCATTTTACGCGCAAATCCACTCTTGTTACGTTATATTCATTATATTCATATTCATTTACGCGCAAATCCTTATATTCTTTATTTACGCAAATCCCCTTATATTCAGTTGCGTATTTTTCATTTTACGCGCAAATCCCCTTGTTACGTTATATTCATTTACGCAAAATCCTTTATTAATATTCATTTTACGCGCAAATCCTCTTGTTAAATATTCATTTTGCTCCCTTATTACATTATATTCATTTACGCGCAAATCCTTATTACGTTATATTCATTTACGCGCAAATCCCCTTGTTACGTTATATTCATTTATGCGCAATCCTCATTACGTTATATTCATTTACGCGCAAATCCTCTTGTTACGTTATATTCATTACGCGCAAATCCTCTTATTACGTTATATTCATTTACGCAAATACCTTATTATGTTATATTCATTTACGCGTAAATCCTCTTATTACGTTATATTCATTTACGCGCGCAAATCCTTAATTATGTTATATTCATTTACGCGCAAATCCTCTTATTACGTTATATTCATTTACGCGCAAATCCTCTTTATATTCGTTACGCGCAAATCCCTTGTTATTATATTCATTTACGCGCAAATCACTCTTATTACGTTCATTTACGCAAACTTTATTACGTTATATTCATTTACGCGTCCTCTTATTACGTTATATTCATTTGCGTAAATCCTCTTATTATATTTACGCAAATTCTTATTACGTTATATTTCATTTACGCGCAAATCCTCTTTATTACGGTATATTCATTTACGCGCAAATCCACACGTTACGTTATATTCATTTACGCAAATCCTCTTGACACGTTATATTCATTTACGCGCAAATCCTCTTATTCCATTTCATTTACGCGCAAACTCCTCTTATTACGTTATATTCATTTACGCGCAATCCTCTTTATTTACATTATATTCATTTACGCGCAAATCCTCTTATATTCATTATATTCATTTACATTATATTCAAAATCCTCTTATTACGTTATATTCATTTACGTGCAAATCCTCTTATTACGTTTATATTCAGTTTACCTCAAATCCTCTTATTACGTTATATTCATTTACACTTTTAAATCCCTTATTACATTATATTTCCTTTGCAAAATATCTTATACATTATATTCATTTTGCATAAATCCTCTTATTGTTATATTCATTTTGCCAAATCCCCTTTAGCCCCATTATATTTCATTTGCATAAATCCTCTGACCGTCATATTCATTTACACTTTCGTCCCTTATTACGTTATATTTCATTTACGCAAATCCACTCTTATTACATTATATTCATTTTACGCAAATCCCACTCTTTATTATTTATTCATTTACACAAATCCTCTTGTTATTATATTCATTTTATATTCGTTATATTCATTTACGCAAATCCTCTTATTACATTATATTCATTTACATTTTAATCCTCTGTGCATTATATTCATTTACGCTTTGATAAATTCATTTACGCACAAATCTTTATATTCATTTACGTGTTTGCTTTTAAATCCCCTTATTCATATTTTTACGCAAATCCTCAAATTCTTTTTATTACAAATTATTATTCATTATATTCATTGCAAATCCCTTATTAATCGCGCAAATCCTCTCTTATTACGTTATATTCATTTCCTCTTATTACCAAATCCTCTTAATGCATTATATTCATTTACGTTATGTTCATTTGCAAATCCTTATTAAATCATTTTACTCTTTATTACATTATATTCATTTACGTCCTCTATTCATTTACACTTTCAATCTATTACATTATATTCATTTACTTTATTAAATCATTTTACGCACCGTCCTTATTACGTTATATTCATTTATCCTCGTTATATTTCATTTCAAAAATCCTCTTGTTACGTTATATTCATTTTACGCAAATCACTCTTGTTACAAATTCACGCGCAAATCTTTATTACATTATATTCATTTACGCAAATCCTCTTATTACATTATATTCATTTACATAAATCCCCTAAATAAATCCCCCCTTATTACTTATTTTACGCCGTTATATTCATTTTTCATTTGCAAATCACTCATTACATTATTCAAATCCTCTTATTGCATTTATATTTCATTTACGCAAATTTTTACGTTATATTCATTTGCGCAAATCCTCTTATTTCATTTTACATAAATCCTCTTATTACATATTCATTTACGCGTCCCTCTTGACGTTACTTTTCATTTAAAATCCTCTTTGTGCGTTATGTTCATTTACGCGCAAATCCCTTATTGCGTTATATTCATTTACGAAAATCCTCTTGACCCACATTATGTTCTTATTCACTCTTCCACGTGCTAACTGCATTATATTCATTTTCATTTACGCTTTTCAAATCCTCGTACTTATTTCATTTTACTAATCCCTTATTACATTATATTCATTTACGCAAATCCTCTTGTTGCGTTATATTTCAATTCAGTAAATCCCTCTTTATTACGTTATATATTATTGTTCATTATATTCGACACGCGCAAATCCTCTTGTTTATATTCATTATATTCATTTACCCTTATTACATTATATTTACATTTGCAATCCTCTTATTACATTATATTTCATTTTACGCAAATTATATTCATTTACGTCCTTATTACATTATATTCATTTAATTACATTATATTCATTTACTCTTTGTTACATTATATTCATTTACAAATCCCCTTATTACATTATATTCCATTTAAATCCTATTACCTTTACTGTTACATTATATTCATTTACGCATAAATCCTCTTAATATTCATTATATTCATTTCATTTTACATTTATTACATTATATTCATTTACGCGAAACCTCTTGTTACATTATATTCATTTACGCATAAATCCCCTTATTACATTATATTTCATTTTATTACATTAAAAATCCCTTATTACGTTATATTCATTTGCGCAAATCCCTCTTGTACATTGTATTCATTTGCTTCACTCTTGTTACATTATATTCATTTACGCAAATCACTATTACGTTATATTCATTTACGCAAATCCTCTTATTAAATCCTCTTTATTACGTTATATTCATTTACATAAATCACTCTTTTACGTTATATTCATTTTGCACTTTAAATCTCTTATTACGTTATATTCATTTACGCGCAAATCCTCTTATTACGTTAGTATTCATTTACGCGCAAATCTCTTATTACGTTATATTCATTTACGCGCAAATCCCTTATTACGTTATATTCATTTACGCGCAAATCTTATTACGTTATATCATTTTACGCGCAAATTATTATTTATATTCGTTACGCGCAAATCCTCTTATTACGTTATATTCATTTACGCGCAAATCCTCTTATTACGTTATATTCATTTACGCGCAAATCCCCTCTTATTATATTCATTTACGCGTAAATCGCATTACGTTATTCATTTACGCGCAAATCCCCTTTTATTAATATTCATTTACGCGCAAATCCCTTATTACGTTATATTCATTTTACGCGTAAATCCTCTTTACGCGCAACTTACGTTATATTCATTTACGCGCAAATCCCCTTATTACGTTATATTCATTTACGCGCAAATCCCTTTCATTATTATATTCATTTACGCGCGCAAATCCCCTTATTACGTTATATTCATTTACGCGCAAATCCTCTTATTACGTTATATTCATTTTACGCGCAAATCCTCTTGTTACGTTATATTCATTTACGCGCAAATCCTCTTATTACGTTATATTCATTTACGCGCAAATCCTTATTACGTTATATTCATTTACGCGCAAATCCTCTTATTACGTTATATTCATTTACGCGCAAATCCCCTATTATTATATTCATTTACGCGTAAATCCTCTTATTACGTTATATTCATTTACGCGCAAATCCTCTTATTACGTTATATTCATTTACGCGCAAATCCTCTTTATTAATTCGTTAAACTATTCATTTACGCGCAAATCCTCTTGTTACGTTATATTCATTTACGCGCAAACTTGTTACCATTTACGCGCAAATTCTTATTACGTTATATTCATTTACGCGCAAATCCTTTATTACGTTATATTCATACGCGCAAATTCTTATTACGCGGCATTTACGCGCAAATATTATTACATTTTATTATATCGCTTTTTTTTACGCAAATCCCTCTTATTATTTACGTTATATTCATTTTACGCGCAAATCCTCTTGTTACGTTATATTCCCCGCGCAAATCTCATTTACGCGCAAATCTCTTATTACGTTATATTCATTTACGCGCAAATATTACGTTATTTTTACGCGCAAAATCCCCTCCCCTTATTACGTTATATTCATTTACGCGCAAATCCTCTTATTACGTTATATTCATTTACGCGCAAATCCTCTTATTACGTTATATTCATTTACGCGCAAATCCTCTTTATTACTTATCCTCTTATTTCATTTACGCGCAAATCCTTATTACTTATATTCATTTACGTTATATTCATTTTACGCGCAAATCCCCTTATTACGTTATTTCATTTACGCGCAAATCCTCTTGTTACGTTATATTCATTTACGCGCAAATCCTTGTTACGTTATGTTCATTTACGCGCAAATCACTCTTATTGCATTATATTCATTTACGCGCAAACCTCTTATTACGTTATATTCATTTACGCGCAAATCCTCTTATTACGTTATATTCATTTACGCACCGACCCTATTACGTTATTTACGCGCAAAATCCTCTTATTACGTTATATTCATTTACGCATAATCCCTTCCGTTATATTCATTACGTCCTCTTATATCTATTTTTACGCGCAAATCTTATTACGTTATATTCTTTGCGCGCAAATTACGTTATATTCATTTACAGTTATATTCGCGTAAATCCTCTTATTATATTCATTTATCCCCTTATTTTATATTCAAACACGCAAATCACTCTTATTACGGTATATTCATTTACGCTATCTTATTTACGCGTAAATCACTTATTACCGTTATATTCATTTACGCGCAAATCCCCTTATTTTATATTTCATTTACGCGCCGTCCTCTTATTACGTTATATTCATTTACGCGCAAATCACTTTGTTACGTTATATTCATTTACGCATAAATCCTTTACTTATTACGTTATATTCAGTTACGCGCCGTCTTATTACATTATATTCATTTACGCGCAAATCCTCTTATTACATTTCATTTACGCGCAAATCCTCTTGTTACGTTGCCGTTCATTTACGCGCAAATCCTCTTATTACGTTATATTCATTATTTTACGTTATATTCAGTTACGCAAATCCTCTTACGCGTTATATTCAGTTACGCGCAACTTTCTTATATTCATTTGTTATGCGCAAACTTATTACGTTATATTCATTTACGCGCAAATCCTCTCTTACGTTATATTCATTTACGCGCAAATCCCCTTATTACGTTATATTCATTTACGCAAATCTTATTACGTTATATTCATTTACGCGCAATCCTCTTATTACGTTATATTCATTTACGCGCAAATCCCTTATTACGTTATATTCATTTACGTTATATTCATTTACAAATCCCCTTTATTACGTTATATTCATTTACGCGCAAATTTATTACGTTATATTCATTTACGCGCAAATCCTCTTGTTACGTTATATTCATTTACGCGCAAATCCTCTTATTACGTTATATTCATTTACGCGTTATATTTTACGCGCAAAATCCCCTTATTACGTTATATTCATTTACGCAAAATCCTCTTATTACGTTTATATTCATTTACGCGCAAATCCTCTTGTTACGTTATTTATTCATTTACGCGCAAATCCCCTTATTACATTATATTCATTTTACGCGCAAATCCCTTGTTACGTTATATTCATTTTACGTAAATCCTCTTATTACGTTATATTCATTTACGCGCAAATCTTGTTATTTATATTCATTTACGCGCAAATCCTCTTTGTTACGTTATATTCATTTACGCGCAAATCCCTTATTACGTTATATTCATTTACGCGCAAATCCTCTTATTACGTTATATTCATTTACGCGCAAATCCTCTTATTACGTTATATTCATTTACGCGCAAATCCCCTATTACGTTATATTCATTTACGCATAAATCCTCTTATTACGTTATATTCATTTACGCGCAAATCCTCTTATTACGTTATATTCATCCCTTATTACGCGCAAATCCTCTTATTACGTTATATTCAATTACGCGCAAACTTTATTACGTTATATTCATTTACGCGCAAATCCTCTTGTTACGTTATATTCTCATTTACGCGCAAATCCTCTTGTTACGTTATATTCATTTACGCGCAAATCCCCTTATTACGTTATATTCATTTACGCGCAAATCCTTTATTACGTTATTACGTTATTACGCGGCAAGTTACGCGTAAACTCCTTATTACGTTATATTCATTTACGCGTTATATTCATTTGCGCCGTCCTCTTATTACGTTATATTCATTTACGCGCAAATCCTCTTATTACGTTATATTCATTTACGCAAATCCCTTATTACGTTATATTCATTTACGCGCAAATCCCTTATTACGTTATATTCATTTACGCACCAAATTACGTTTATTCGCGCAAACTCTTATTACGTTATATTCATTTACGCGCAAATCCTCTTATTACGTTATATTCATTTACGCGCAAATCCTCTTATTACGTTATATTCATTTACGCACCAAATCCTCTTTATTACGTTATATTCATTTACGCGCAAATCCCTTATTACGTTATATTCATTACGCGCAAATCCTATTACGTTATATTCAGTTATATCCATTTACGTAAATCCTCTTATTACGTTATATTCATTTACGTTATATATTCATTTACGCGTTAATTCATTTACCTCTTATTACGTTATATTCATTTACGCGCAAATCCTCTTATTACGTTATATTCATTTACGCGCAAATCCTCTTATTACGTTATATTCATTTACGCGCAAATCCTCTTATTACGTTATATTCATTTTGCGCCGTCCTCTTATTACGTTATATTCATTTGCGCAAATCCTCTTATTACGTTATATTCATTTTACGCGCAAATCCTCTTATTACATTATATTCATTGCGCAAATCCTCTTACGTTATATTCATTTACGCGCAAATCCTCTTGTTATATTCATTTACGCGCAAATCTCTATTACGTTATATTCATTTTACGCGCAAATCACTCCTATTACGTTATATTCATTTACGCGCAAATCCTCTTATTACGTTATATTCATTTTACGCGCAAATCCTCTTGTTACGTTATATTCATTTACGCGCAAATCCTCTTATTACGTTATATTCATTTTACGCGCAAATCCTCTTTATTACGTTATATTCATTTACGCGCAAATCCTCTTATTACGTTATATTCATTTTACGCGCAAATCCTCTTATTACGTTATGTTCATTTACGCGCAAATCCTTCATTACGTTATATTCATTTTACGCAAATCCCTTATTACGTTATATTCATTTACGCAAATCCTCTTGTTAATATTCATTGCTGGAAATCCTCTTATTACGTTATATTCATTTACGCGCAAATCACTCTTGCGCAAATTTACCTCTTATTACGTTATATTCATTTACGCGCAAATCCTCTTGTTACGTTATATTCATTTTACGCGCAAATCCTCTTGTTACGTTATATTCATTTACGCTGGAAATCCTATTATTCGTTATATTCATTTACGCGCAAATCCTCTTATTACGTTATATTCATTTTACGCGCAAATCCTCGTTATATTCATTTACGCAAATCCTCTTATACGTTATATTCATTTACGCGCAAATCCTCTTATTACGTTATATTCATTCATTTACGCGCAAATCCTCTTATTACGTTATATTCATTTACGCGCAAATCCTCTTATTACGTTATATCATTTACGCGCAAATTCTCTTTTATATTATATTCATTTTACGCGCAAATCCTCTTATTACGTTATATTCATTTACGCGCAAATCCTCTCTTATTACGTTATATTCATTTACGCGCAAATCCTCTTGATACGTTATATTATTTCATTTACGCGCAAATCCTCTTATTACGTTATATTCATTTACGCGCAAATCCTCTTATTACGTTATATTCATTTACGCAAATCCTCTTATTACGTTATATTCATTTTACGCAAATCTCTTATTACGTTATATTCATTTACGCGCAAATCCTCTTATTACGTTATATTCATTTACGCGCAAATCCTCTTATTACGTTATATTCAGTTACGCGCAAAATCCTCTTATTACGTTATATTCATTTTACGCGCAAATCCTCCTTATTACGTTATATTCATTTACGCGCAAATCCCCTTATTACGTTATATTCATTTACGCGCAAATCCTCTTATTACGTTATATTCATTTACGCGCAAATACGTTATATTCATTTACGCAAATCCTCTTATTACGTTATATTCATTTACGCGCAAATCCTCTTACGTTATATTCATTTACGCAAATCCTCTTGTTACGTTATATTCATTTACGCGCAAATCCTCTTATTACGTTATATTCATTTACGCAAATCCTCTTGTTACGTTATATTCATTTACGCACAATCATCCCGTTATATTCATTTACGCGCAAATCCTCTTGTTATTTATTTCATTTACGCAAATCCTCTTAACGTTATATTCATTTGCGCGCAAATCACTACGTTATATTCATTTACGCGCAAATCCTCTTATTACGTTATATTCATTTACGCGCAAATCCTCTTATTACGTTATATTCATTTACGCGCAAATCCTCTTGTTACGTTATATTCATTTACGCGCGCAAATCCTCTTGTTACGTTATATTCATTTTACGTTATATTCATTTACGCAAATCCTCTTATTACGTTATATTCATTTGCAAATCCTCTTGTTATTATATTCATTTACGCAAATCCTCTTATTACTTATATTCATTTGCAAATCCTCTTATTACGTTATATTCATTTACGCAATTTGTAAATCCTCTTATTACGTTATATTCATTTTATTTACGCGCAAAATCCTCTTATTACGTTATATTCATTTATTTTATTACGCGCAAAAATCCTCTTATTACGTTATATTCATTTACGCGCAAATCCTCTTATTATGCTGATTTACGCGCAAATCCTCTTATTACGTTATATTCATTTTGCGCCGTCCTCTTATTACGTTATATTCATTTGCAAATCCTCTTATTACGTTATATTCATTTTACGCGCAAATCCTCTTATTACATTATTTCATTATTCATTTTACGCGCGATTTTTACCTCTTATTACGTTATATTCATTTACGCGCAAATCCTCTTATTACGTTATATATTCATTTACGCACAAATCTCTTATTACGTTATATTCATTTTACGCGCAAATCCTCTTGTTACGTTATATTTCATTTACGCGCAAATCCCTCTTGTTACGTTATATTCATTTACGCGCAAATCCTCTTATTACGTTATATTCATTTACGCGCAAATCCTCTTATTACGTTATATTCATTTACGCGCAAATCCTCTTATTACGTTATATTCAGTTACGCGCAAATCCTCTTATTACGTTATATTCATTTACGCGCAAATCCTCTTATTACGTTATATTCATTTACGCGCAAATCCTCTTACGTTATATTCGTTTACGCGCCGTCCTCTTGTTATTATATTCATTTACGCGCAAATCCTCTTGTTACGTTATATTCATTTACGCGCAAATCCTCTTATTACATTATATTCATTTATTCGCGCAAATCCTCTTATTACGTTATATTCATTTACGCGCAAATCCTCTTATTACGTTATATTCACTTACGCACCGTACGTTATATATTCATTTGCAAAAATCCTCTTATTACGTTATATTCATTTTACGCGCAAATCCCCTTATTACGTTATATTCATTTACGCGCAAATCCTCTTATTACGTTATATTCATTTTACGCGCAAATCCTCTTGTTACGTTATATTCATTTACGCGCAAATCCTCTTTTTACGTTATATTACGTTATATTCATTTACGCAAATCCTCTTATATACGTTATATTCATTTTACGCGCAAATTCTCTTGTTACGTTATATTCATTTACGCGCAAATCCTCTTATTACGTTATATTCATTTTACGCGCAAATCCTCTTGTTACGTTATATTCATTTGCGCAAATCTCTTATTACGTTATATTCATTTACGCGCAAATCCTCTTATTACGTTATATTCATTTACGCGCAAATCCTCTTCATTACGTTATATTCATTTACGCAAATCCCTTATTACGTTATATTCATTTTACGTCCTGTTATATTCATTTACGCAAAATCCTCTTGTTACGTTATATTCATTTACGCGCAAATCCTCTTATTACGTTATATTCATTTACGCAAATCCTCTTATTACGTTATATTCATTTACGCGCAAATCACCTTATTACGTTATATTCATTTACGCTGGAAATCCTCTTATTACGTTATATTCATTTACGCGCAAATCCTCTTATTACGTTATATTCATTTACGCTTCATTTACGCACAAATCCTCTTATACGTTATATTCATTTACGCGCAAATCCTCTTATTACGTTATATGTTGTTTACGCGCAAATCCTCTTGTTACGTTATATTCATTTACGCGCAAATCCTCTATATTATATTCATTTTACGCGCAAATCCTCTTATTACGTTATATTCATTTACGCGCAAACTTACGTTATTCATTTACGCGCAAATCCTCTTTTTGTTATGTTATATTCATTTACGCGCAAACTCACTCTTATTACGTTATATTCATTTACGCGCAAATCCTTGTTACGTTATATTCATTTACGCGCAACTATTTATATTCATTTACGCGCAACTTTCCATTACGTTATATTCATTTACGCGCAAACTCTTGTTACGTTATTATATTCACTTACGCGCAAATCCCATTACGTTTTATTTACGCGCAAATCCTCTTATTACGTTATATTCATTTACGCAAATCCTCTTGTTACGTTATTACTTAGTTGCGCAAATCCTTCATTACGTTATATTCATTTACGCAATGTTATATTCATTTACGCGCAAATCCCTTATTACGTTATATTCAGTTACGCGCAAATTATTACGTTATATTCATTTACGCAAATCCTCTTGTTACGTTATATTCATTTACGCGCAAATTATATCTTTAATTTAGGCGTAAATCTCTTATTACGTTATATTCATTTACGCGCAAATCCTTCTTATTACGTTATATTCATTTACGCGCAAATCCCTTGTTACGTTATATTCAGTTACGCGCAAACTTCTTATTCATTTATTTACGCAAATAAACGTCCGCGCAAATCCTCTTATTACGTTATATTCAGTTACGCAAATCCTCTTTATTACGTTATATTCATTTACGCAAATCCTCTTGTTACGTTATATTCATTTACGCGCAAACTCTTGTTACGTTATTTTTTTACGCGCAAATTCTTATTAATATTCCGCGCAAATCCTTCATATTACGTTATTTTACGCAACCTCTTGTTACGGCGCAACTTCTTATTATGTTATATTCATTTACGCGCAAATCCTCTTATTACGTTACATTCATTACGCGCAACTATTCATTTACGCGCAAATCATATTCATTTACGCGCAAATCCTATATTCGTTATATTTTTACGCGCAAATCCTCTTATTACGTTAAATTTACGCGCAAATCCTCTTATTACGTTATATTCATTTATATTCATTTACGCGCAAATCCTTATTATGTTATATTCATTTACGCGCAACTTATTACGTTATATTCATTTACGCGCAAATCCTCTTGTTACGTTATATTCATTTACGCGCAACCTCTTATTACGTTATATTCATTTACGCGCAACTTTCTTATTACGTTGAGTATTCATTTACGCAAACTTCCTTGTTACGTTATATTCATTTACGCGCAAATCCCTTATTACGTTATATTCATTTACGCGCAAACTCTTATTACGTTATATTCATTTACGCGCAACTTTCTGTTACATAAGAGGTTTCATTTACGCGCAAACTTCCTTATTACGTTATATTCATTTACGCGCATCCTCTTATTACGTTATATTCAGTTACGCGCAAATCCTCTTATTACATTATATTCATTTACGCGCAAATCCTCTTATTACGTTATATTCATTTACGCGCAAATCCTCTTGTTACGTTATATTCATTTACGCGCAAACCTCTTATTACGTTATATTCATTTACGCAAATCCTCTTATTACGTTATATTCATTTACGCGCAAATCCTCTTATTACGTTATATTCAGTTACGCGCAAATCCTCTTATTACGTTATATTCATTTACGCCGCGCAAATCCTCCATTACGTTATATCTATTTACGCGCAAAATCCTCTTTACGTTATATTCATTTACGCGCAACTTTATTCGTTATTTCAGTTACGCGCAAATCCCCTTATTACGTTATATTCATTTACGCGCAAATCCTCTTATTACGTTATATTCATTTACGCGCAAATCCTCTTATTAGGCGTTATATCTATTTACGCGCAAGCAACTCTTATTATGTTATATTCATTTACTCTTTATTACGTTATATTCATTTACGCGCAAATCACTATATTCTTATTATTACGTTATATTCATTTACGCGCAAATCCTCTTGTTACGTTATATTCATTTACGCGCGAATCCTCTTGTTACGTTATATTCATTTACGCAAATCCTCTTGTTACGTTATTATATTCATTTACGCGCAAATCATTACGTTATATATTCATTTACGCAAATCCTTCATTACGTTATATTCATTTACGCGCAAATCCTCTTATTACGTTATATTCATTTACGCGCAAATCCCCTTATTACGTTATATTCATTTACGCGCAAATCCGTTATATTCTTTACGCGCAACCTTTGTTACGTTATATTCATTTACGCGCAAATCCTCTTGTTACGTTATATTCATTTACGCGCAAATCCTCTTTTACGTTATATTCATTTACGCGCAACCTTCTTAGTTATACCTCTTATTACGTTATATTTCATTTACGCGCAAACTCCTCTTATTACGTTATATTCATTTACGCAAATCCTCTTATTACGTTATATTCAGTTACGCGCAAATCCTCTTATTACGTTATATTCATTTACGCGCCCTCTTATTACGTTATATTCATTTACGCGCAAATTCTTATTACGTTATATTCTATTTACGCGTAAATCCTCTTATTACGTTATATTCATTTACGCGCAAATCCCCTTATTACGTTATATTCATTTACGCGCAAATCCTCTTATTACGTTATATTCATTTACGCGCAAATCCCCTTATTACGTTATATTCATTTACGCGCAAATCCTCTTGTTACGTTATATTCTTTACGCGCAAATTATTACGTTATATTCATTTACGCACCAAATCACTCTTATTACGTTATATTCATTACGCAAATCCTCTTATTACGTTATATTCATTTACGCAAATCCGTCCTTTACTCTTATTACGTTATATTCATTTACGCGCAAATCCTCTTATTACGTTATATTCATTTACGCGCAAACTAATCCTCTTATTACGTTATATTCATTTTACGCGCAAATCCTCTATTACGTTTATATTCATTTACGCGCAAATCCTCTTATTACGTTATATTTCATTTTACGCGCAAATCCTCTTGTTACGTTATATTCATTTACGCGCAATTATCCGCAAATCTTATTACGTTATATTCATTTACGCGCAATCCTCTTATTACGTTATATTTCATTTACGCGCAATCCTCTTATTACGTTATATTCATTTACGCGCAAATCCTCTTATTACGTTTATATTCAGTTACGCGCAAAATCCTCTTATTACGTTATATTCATTTTACGCGCAAATCCTCTTATTACGTTATATTCATTTACGCGCAAATCCTCTTATTGGCGTTATATTCATTTACGCGCAAATCCTCTTATTATATTCATTTACGCGCAACCTCCTATTCATTTATTCCAGTTACGCAAATCCTCTTATTACGTTATATTCATTTACGCGCGTTACGTTATATTCATTTACACGCAAATCCTTGTTACTTATTACATTATATTCATTTACGCAAATCCTCTTATTACGTTATATTCATTTACGCGCAAATCCCCTTATTACGTTATATTCATTTACGCGCAAATCCTCTTATTACGTTATATTCATTTACGCGCAAATCCTCTTATTACGCGAGTATATTCATTTTGTTGGCGCCGTACGCGCAAATCTTTGTTACGTTATATTCATTTTACGCCGCAAATCCTCTTATTACGTTATATTCATTTTTACGCGCAAATCCTCTTATTACGTTATATTCATTTACGCAAAATCCTCTTATTACGTTATATTCATTTTACGCGCAACCTCTTATTACGTTATATTCTTTACGCGCAAACGTTTACGTTATATTCATTTACGCGCAAATCCTCTTAAATTACGTTATATTCATTTACGCGTAAATCCCTTATTACGTTATATTCATTTACTTAAATCCTCTTATTACATTATATTCATTTACGCGCAAATCCTCTTTATTACGTTATATTCAGTTACGCGTAAATCCTCTTATTACGTTATATTCATTTACGCGCTTATTACGTTATATTCATTTACGCGCAAATCCTCTTATTACGTTATATTCATTTTACGCAAATCCTCTTATTACGTTATATTCATTTACGCGCAAATCCCCTTATTACGTTATATTCATTTACGCGCAAATCCTCTTATTACGTTATATTCATTTACGCGCAAATCCTCTTATTACGTTATATTCATTTACGCGCAAATCCTCTTGTTACGTTATATTCATTTACGCGCAAATCCTCTTATTACGTTATATTCATTTACGCGCAAATCCTCTTGTTACGTTATATTCATTTACGCGCAAATCCTCTTGTTACGTTATATTCATTTACGCGCAAATCCTCTTGTTACGTTATATTCATTTACGCGCAAATCCTCTTATTACGTTATATTCATTTATTTACGCGCAAATCCTCTTATTACGTTATATTCATTTCCTCTTACGTTATATTCATTTACGCGCAAATCCTCTTATTACGTTATATTCATTTACGCAAATCCTCTTGTTATTATATTCATTTACTCCTCTTATTACGTTATATTCATTTACGCGCAATCCTCTTATTATATTATATTCATTTACGCGCAAATCCCTTATTACGTTATATTCATTTACGCGCAAATCCTCTTATATTCATTTATAAATCATTATATTCATTTACGCGCAAATCCTCTTATTACGTTATATTCATTTACGCGCAAATCCTCTTATTACGTTATATTCATTTACGCGCAAATCCTTTGTTACGTATATATTTACGCGCGCAAATCCTCTTATTACGTTATATTCATTTACGCGCAACCGCAAATCCTCTTATTACGTTATATTCATTTACGCGCAAATCCTCTTATTACGTTATATTCATTTACGCGCAAATCCTCTTATTACGTTATATTCATTTACGCGCAAATCCTCTTATTACGTTATATTCATTTACGCGCAAATCCCTTATTACGTTATATTCATTTACGCGCAAATCCTCTTATTACGTTATATTCGCATTTTATTACGTCTTATTACGTTATATTCATTTTACGCGCAAATCCCTTATTACGTTATATTCATTTACGCGCAAATCACTCTTATTACGTTATATTCATTTACGCGTTCAAATCCTCTTATTACGTTATATTCATTTACGCGCAAATCCTCTTATTACATTATATTCATTTTACGCAAATCCTCTTATTACATTATATTCATTTACGCGCAAATCCTCTTATTACGTTATATTCATTTACGCGCAAATCCTCTTATTACGTTATATTCATTTACGCGAAAATTTATTACGTTATATTCATTTACGCGCAAATCCTCTTATTACGTTATATTCATTTACGCGCCAAATCCTCTTGTTACGTTATATTCATTTACGCGCAAATCCTCTTATTACGTTATATTCATTTACGCGCAAATCCTCTTGTTACGTTATATTCATTTACGCAAATCCCTTATTACGTTATATTCATTTACGCAAATCCTCTTGTTACGTTATATTCATTTACGCAAATCCTCAATTACGTTATATTCATTTACGTTATTGTTCATTTCATTTACGCGCAAAATCCTCTTATTACGTTATATTCATTTGCGCAAATCCTCTTATTACGTTATATTCATTTACGCGCAAATCCCCTTATTACGTTATATTCATTTACGCGCAAATCCTCTTATTACGTTATATTCATTTACGCGCAAATCCCTTATTACGTTATATTCATTTTGCGCAAATCCTCTTATTACGTTATATTCATTTTACGCGCAAATCCCTTATTACGTTATATTTCATTTACGCGCAAATCCTCTTATTACGTTATATTCATTTACGCGCAAATCCTCTTATTACGTTATATTCATTTACGCGCAAATCCTCTTTATTACGTTATATTCATTTACGCGCAAATCCTCTTATTACGTTATATTCATTTACGCTCTTATTACAAATTTACCTCTTATTACGTTATATTCATTTACGCGCAAATCCCCTTATTACGTTATATTCATTTACGCGCAAATCCTCTTATTACGTTATATTTATTTACGCGCATCCTCTTGTTACGTTATATTCATTTACGCGCAAATCCTCTTGTTACGTTATATTCATTTACGCGCAAATCCTCTTATTACGTTATATTCATTTACGCGCAAATCCTTACGTTATTACGTTATATTCATTTATTCATTTACGCAAATCCCTTGTTACGTTATATTCATTTACGCGCAATCCTCTTATTACGTTATTTCATTTACGCGCAAATCCTCTTATTACGTTATATTCATTTACGCGCAAATCCCCTTGTTACGTTATATTCATTTACGCGCAAATCCTCTTGTTACGTTATATTCATTTACGCGCAAATCCTATTACTTATTTCATTTACGTTATATTCATTTACGCGCAAAATCCTTATTACGTTATATTCATTACGTTATATTCATTTACGCGCAAATCCTCTTATTACGTTATATTCATTTACGCGCAAATCCCTTATTACATTATATTCATTTACGCAAAATCTCTTATTACGTTATATTCATTTACGCGCAAATCCCTTATTACGTTATATTCATTTACGTTCTTTTTATTATATTCATTTACGCGCAAATCCTCTTATTACGTTATATTCATTTACGCGCAAATCCTCTTATTACGTTATATTCATTTGGCGCAAATCCTTTATTACGTTATATTCATTTACGCGCAAATCCTCTTGTTACGTTATATTCATTTACGCGCAAATCCTGTTATATTCATTTACGCGCAAATCCTCTTATTACGTTATATTCATTTTACGCGCAAATCCTCTCTTGTTACGTTATATTCATTTACGCGCAAATCCTCTTGTTACGTTATATTCATTTACGCGCAAATCCCTTATTACGTTATATTCATTTACGCGCAAATCCTCTTATTACGTTATATTCATTTTACGCAAATCCTTTTATTACGTTATATTCATTTACGCGCAAATCCTCTTATTACGTTATATTCATTTTACGCGCAAATCCCTTATTACGTTATATTCATTTACGCAAAATCCCTTTATTACGTTATATTCATTTACGCGCAAATCCTCTTATTACGTTATATTCATATTACGTTATATTCATTTGTCTGAATCCAAATTACGTTATATTCATTTACGCGCAAATCCTCTTATTACGTTATATTCATTTACGCGCAAATCCCTCGTTATATTCATTTACGCGCAAATCCTCTTATTACGTTATATTCATTTACGCGCAACCCCCCTTATTACGTTATATTCATTTACGCGCAAATCCCTTATTACGTTATATTCATTTATTTACGCATTGCAAAATCCCCTTATTACGTTATATTCATTTACGCGCAAATCCTTGTTACTTATTTTTTTTTTGATACGTTATATTCATTTATCGCAAATCTTTATTACGTTATATTCATTTACGCAAATCCCCTTATTACGTTATATTCATTTTTTACGCGCAAATCCTCATTTACGCGCAAATTTATTACGTTATATTCATTTACGCGCAAATCCCCTTATTACGTTATATTCATTTACGCGCAAATCCTCTTGATACTTATATTCATTTACGCAAATCCCCTTATTACGTTATATTCATTTACGCAAAAGGACTTATTACGTTATATTCATTTACGCGCAAATCCCCTTATTACGTTATATTCATTTACGCGCAAATCCCCTTGTTACGTTATATTCATTTAATTCAAACAATCCTCTTATTACGTTATATTCATTTACGCAAATCCCCTTATTACGTTATATTCATTTACGCGCAAATCCTCTTATTACGTTATATTCATTTACGCAAAAATCCTATTACGTTATATTCATTTACGCAAATCCTCTTATTACGTTATATTCATTTTTTTTATTAAATCCTCTTGTTACGTTATATTCATTTACGCAAATCCCTTATTACGTTATTTCATTTCATACGTATATTCATTTACGCGCAAATCCTCTTAACGTTATATTCATTTACGCGCAAATCCTCTTATTACGTTATATTCATTTACGCGCAAATCCTCTTATTATATTCATTTACGCGCAAATTATTATATTCATTACGCGCAAATCCCTTTGTTACGTTATATTCATTTACGCGCAAATCCTCTTATTACGTTATATTCATTTACGCGCAAATACGTTTTATTTACGTTAAATCCTATTTACATTTTTTACGCGCATTCATTTATTTACGCGCAAATCCTTTTTATTATATTATATTCATTTACGCATTTACGCAAAAATCTTATTACGTTATATTCATTTACGCGCAAATCCTTTATTACGTTATATTCATTTACGCGCAAATCCTCTTATTACGTTAATTCATTTTACGCAAATCCTCTTATTACGTTATATTCATTTACGCGCAAATCCTCTTATTACGTTATATTCATTTACGCGCAAATCCCCGAAATACGTTATATTCATTTACGCGCAAATCCTTATTACGTTATATTCATTTACGCGCAAATCCTCTTATTACGTTATATTCATTTATTCGCGCAAATCCTCTTATTAGACATTATATTCATTTACGCGCATTTATTTGTTATATTTTACGCGCAAATCCTTATTACGTTATACGCGCAAATATATTTTATTTACGCGCAAATCCCCTTTATTACGTTATATTCATTTACGCGCAAATCCCTTATTACGTTATATTCAAATACGCGCAAATTCTTATTTACGTTATATTCATTTACGCGCAAATCCTCTTATTACGTTATATTCATTTACGCGCAAATCCTCTTATTACGTTATATTCATTTACGCGCAAATCCTCTTATTACGTTATATTCATTTACGCGCAAATCCTCTTATTTTACGTTATATTCTGATTACGCGCAAATCCTCTTATTTTATTTTCATTTACGTTATTTTTTTTTTTCCGCGTTACGTTATATTCAGTTCCGTAAATCCCCTTATTACGTTATATTCAGTTACGCGTATCAATACACTTTTTCTTTCACAGTTATGGGCTAACTTGTACGATTTGTACCACTAATTCATTCTCATCTTAAAAAAAAAAAAAACTCAAATTAAAATTTAATAATATTGTTTATAACATGGATTTAATTAACGTGTCAGTTCCCCATCTCAACGTCTATCAGATCATGTTTCAATATTTTTTGTATAGTCTGCTATTATTGGTCGGTGTGATGTAAGAAAAGAAAAATCCGCTTTTCCTTTTTGTTATTTACGACTGGTATTATAAATCAGTGATATCCTTAAATTTTTTTTTTTTATCTTAAGTGTTTATTTTCTAATATTAAATTTTTATTTAGTTCGTTATTAATTTAATCATTTTTGTACGACTTAAAATATTTATCATATAGTAATACGTAACCTCACTCTTATGCATTTTATTTAAAAAACCAAACTTTACATTTGAAAAATTACGCAATAGATAAATCTAATTACTTAATAAGTAACTAAAAATATAAAGGAAAATAATGAATTTGATAAAAACAAACAGAAATTCAGCTTATAAATTATCGAAAAGTTTAATCTTAAAATTAGTGAAAACCGTTTGGTTTTTACTTCACTTCACATAAAGCCGCAAAGACTTATATATAGAGTCAAAACCATGCGGCGTAAAATAAGTTTTTACGATCTTGAAAATGATAGTCGCCGTAATGTCCTGTTTTTTATGCTCACAATTTAGTAGTGAATTCCAAGTTCAACTTAAAATTCTCACTGTAAACTATAAATGTGAAAGTAAAATGTTTCAAATAATAACGAATATCTTTAAACCGTATGGAATAATGGAACAATTCGACAACAATTTAGGAGGATTTTGTATTGATATGTTTATGGTGTACTGTATAAAAGCACTATAGTGATAGCTATGGGAGAGTTATCTTCTCTTGCATGAGTTATCTTCTCTTGCATGAGTTATATTACCTTGAAGATTTTCTGTGCTTCTCACTGTCAAGTCTACATCCTGCTTTGAGGTCAAGTTGTTTTCAGGACGAGTTGAGTAGTATTTGTCACAAAGGATTTTCTTTGAAGAAGAATTTTGGTGTAATTTGCTTTAGATTTTGATTTATATTTTTTGATTTTTGGATATTGATTTGAATTTTCTTTTTTCAGTTTTCTTTTCTTTTCCTATTTTTGCAAACCCCGTTTTGCTCAAAGCTCCTTGTTTTTATTCTATTTTATTTTCTGCTTCATTTATTTTGCTATCATTGTTTTTTTTTTGTTTTGTTTTATTCGTGTTTTAATTAGTTTATTTCTTCGTCTTTTTTGTAAACTCTCTCTAACTGTTCACTTGAATCTGGTTAATCTGTCCGTTTCTGTTTCATTTAATTTTCTGTAATTGGTTTTGGTTTTAGACGTGTTCTCGCCCCACTTTTTGTTTTAATTTTATTTATTTTATTGTTGTGTGTGTGTATCAAATTCTTGTGTGTAAGTGATTTGGGGTCGAACTTTTCCCGGTAAGAGCACGATGCCACCACATCGACCAACAAAACCAACAGTGGAAGCAGTAGAAGTGTCTGGCAAGGCACTGACGGCCTCGGTGTTTAGAAGGAGGTTTTGAGGAGTGGACGGAATACGACAAGCTCTCCTCACCAGCAAGATGTCCCACAACAACACTCAAGAACGGCCAGAGGAGAAAAAAACCCAGCAGAAACCACAGCATCAAGATAAACATCAACAAAAAGAGCAGCATCAACACAGTAACTGCTTCAGCGACAAGAAGAAGAAAAAACAACAACAAAACATGGAACATCAACAAGAAAAGCAACAGGAACAGAAGCAACAGTAGCAACAAAAGAGGAAAGAAAAGAAAAAGCAATAAAAACAACAACAGGAACCGCAGCGAAAACAGAAGCAGCTACAGCCGGACTCGGTAATAAGCCACTTCAACCCTTCTCCTCAAAGATGGGGAGGGAGGAATTAGAGGGGCAATAAGCTACCAAGAAGGAGAAGCCGACTGGATGAAATAGGGCATAGAAGGGCATGGACATTGAACAAAAGTCGGTGGAGGATCCCCGTAATATCAGTGAGGTGTGTTATCATAGATAAAGGATACGGGGAAAAATTTAAGGAAGTGGAATTATCTTTAAGGGAAAAGTGCGACTTCACGAAATTCTAATGGTCCAGGTGGGAACCCCATAATTAAAAAAAAATATACAAATTTTGTTCAGGGATGACCCCGGTCATTCTCCCTCACTCTTTATATAGGGTTCTTAATTTGGCCTATGGCACGGACGTCGTCTGCGTTGTCCTAGATGGACGGATGAAGTCAGCGATGGGCAAAGGGAACCTAGAACTATGCATCGGGGCCATTGCCCCTGAAGATTGAGCGCTTGGCAAAAATATTTGCTAAGTAACAGTTTAACTCTCTGCTCTCGGGCGGAGAGGAACCCGGACGAGGCTCCGCCGAAGGGCAGAGTCTCGTTCGGGGTGGTTCACTGCCCCTGAACCTGTTTATGCGGGTTTAAAGAAGGAATATTTTTGGCCGAGCCTACGGGCTCGGAAATCCCACATTAAACCCGGCCTTGTACCACATGTAACCCTCGTGGGGGTGGGTAGCTAAATATCATTGCCCCTGAAGATTTCCACCCAGTCTGTGATTTGGGATGCAACTTGAAATATGTCTCCCTTGAACGAGAGGTGTTTGAGGGATTGGAGTAAGGCTGCCAGCCTGCTTTGTGAAATCTTGTCCTTCTGGGTAGATGCCGTTGCGATTGTGGAAACACTTTGCGAGATCGATGTTTGAGTGCTTTTTACGAACATAGTCCTATATTCAGCATACGGGGACAGATTGGCTAGAGGTGTTTCCTGGTTAAACGCAACCGGGTTCGTGGGTGAACCTAGTACACTTCAATGAGAGGAATCGGTTGATCGTGGGCGATATTGCCGTGAACATTATTTCATTCGCATCGTTGTAGATTTTTGCACCCAACGACCAGACGGAGCGTGTCTATTTTTCCTGTCGGTTTGAACCGTTCCTGGTGGATTCTTTCGAGCTAAGTCTTAATGGAAGACTTGAATGGCATCCTGGATCCCATGATAGACAGGGGTCGTGGATCTTGTGGGAGGGAGGTTGATCGTAACTTGGCTGGTCTGATCGGCGTGTTTTGTCGATAAATACCGAGTGGATAACCCTTGGCGGATTATGTGGACGTCGGCCTTTAGGTAACCGTCTACCCAGGTAACCAGCTATAGAATTTTAGTAAGAAGGGCCGATATAGATCTGATAGTTTGTTCAGCGTTCCACTGGTAAGGCTATTTAGAACATAGACTTGTATGTGCTCGAATGGCGTTAGGTGCTCGGCATGGGATGGCTGGACACTGGAAAATCAATTTGTCTTTACTGGACAGGTGGAACTTCCAGCAACAGCTAATTAAATCAGTGTAGCGGGAGACGTTTGGGCAGTTATGGTGGAAGAGTGTTAGAGATAGCTTGAGTTCCTTCAACAATGAATATAGCCAGAAACTCGCCCTAGATAAGTTTAAAAGGTGAAGGCTCTCAATGGCAGTCTGTCCCGGACAAAGACTGATGCGGAATTCGTTAGAGAGTTATTTAGCCAC